ACATTAAACGCCAAAAAAATGCCAAGTACATATTTTTGTGATTTTCATTCTCGCAAATCCAAATATTGTTTAATTAATTCCTAATTGTAAAATTAAGTCCTAAATGCACATGCAACACATTTTTTTGTATTTTTCTTAATTAAAGTAGAAATAAACATGCACAGACAAAATACAAATAAATCACAAACAACACAAAACTATTTTATTTTGAATTTTTGGGAGTAGTTCTCGTAGGGCAAAAATCACGTGCTCACATAGACCATACAAAGATTTTAGCAATTTACATACTTTATTTTCTTGGCCAGACACTATACCACCCTCAGGTTGCTCCATGTAAATTTTCTTTTCCAAATCATCATTTAAAAATGCAGTTTTAACATCCATTTGGTGAATAAAAAATTTATAAATAGAAGACAAGGCAAGTAAAACACGAATCGAGGAAATTCTAGTTACAGGAGCATACGTGTCAAAATAATCAATATTTTGCTTTTGGGTAAAACCTTTTGCAACAAGTCTAGCTTTGTATTTATCAATGGAACCATCCAGATTGAGTTTCTTCTTAAAAATTCATTTACAACCAATGAGTTTAGCTCTCGGAGGTAAATCAACTAAAATTCAAGTTTTATTTTGTAAAATTAAATTTAATTCTACATCTATAGCTTCTTTCCAAAATGAGGTATCAGACAAGAAATAGCTTCAGAATATGTTAAAGGATCATTATCCACAAGATAAATATAAAAATCATTACCAAAAGATTTTTCTTTCCTTGGTCTTTTGCTTCTTCTTAAATCCTCACTTTCAAAATCATTGTGAATAATTGGAACATGTAAAATATTATCACTTGGAATAATAGGAGCATCATAAATTTTCTCAAATTTTAAAGGAAAAATATTTTCAAAAAATTTAGCATTTTTTGTTTCAACAATAGTATTGTTTTCAAGTACATCACTTTTGACTACTAAAAATCTATATGTTGCACTGCTTTCGCATACCCAATAAACATACAATCAGATGTTTTAGATCCTATTTTTCTTTTCTTAGGATCAGGCAACATAACTTTAGCAATGCACCCCCACACTTTTAAATATTTCAAATTAGGTGGATACCCTTTCCACAACTCATAAGGAGTTTTACTCGTTTTCTTATAAGGAATTCTATTTTGTAAATGACAAGCACATAAAAAGGTTTCACCCCAAAGATTATCCGGAGCACCAGAACTAACAAGCATGCTATTCATCATTTCCTTTAAGNTTAGTCATAGTTTGTTTCAAATCTCCTAAATCAGTATGAATTAAACTTAATAATTCAGATTCTCTAAATACTGAAGCACATGATTTCTTAGTTTGTTTAGCTTTTGCACAAACTTCACACTTATCAATATTTGAAAATTTAATATTTGAAATAAGACCTTCAGAATGTATTTTCTTAATATAAGATAAACTAACATGTCCTAATCTAGCATGCCATAAATTAAAAGAACCAATCAAGTAAGCAGAAGTACTAACATTTTCATTGATAACATTGAGTACAAACAAGCCATGGTTATAATAACCCTTGCCAACAAAATTATTATTCTTGGTCAACACGACCTTATCAGATTCAAAAGAAACCTTCACCCACACTTTTTCTAATAATCCCACAGAGACCAAATTGGCTCGGATACTAGGAACATGCAACACGTCATTCAATGCCAAAATTTTGCTAGACGTGAGTTTGAGAAGAACTTTGCCTTTTCCAAGAACTGGAGTAGTCCTTGAGTCACCAAGATACAACTTCTTCTCCTTCCTCAACGTGGGTGTAAGACACAAAGTCTTTTTTGTTAGCACATATGTACCTAGTGGCACCAGAATCTAACACTCAGTCTTTCACATTGGCCACAAGGTTCACTTTGGAAACAACTGCAGCAATTATGTCATCCGTTTTGGTTTCAGTTAAATTTACTTTAGCCTTAGCGAGATTGTCATTCCCAACCCTCTTCCGGCATTGAGCAGCATGATGGCCAGGTTTGCCGCACACAAAGCAGTTACCTTTTTCTTGAAGGTTTGATTGTTGGTTTTGGGCTTATAACCATTTCCTTTATCATACCTATTATTTGATTTGTTCTGCCGCTTATTGTTCTCCACCAGGTTGGCTCTTGTAGCAATCTCCTTTCCTTTGTCAGCAACAACTTGCTTGCGATTTATATTTTCAATTATAATGTGCTTGACCAAGTCCTTCAGCGACAATTGCTTGTGTTTGTGTTTCAATTGTTGTTTGTAGTCACTCCAAGATTGGGGAAGTTTTTCTATAAGCATACCAGCAACAAACTGTTCGGGCAGAGAAATATCTTCAGATTTGAGATCTTCAATCAACTTGTGATAGTCGTTGATTTGTGCAGTTATGTCCTTGTCCTCCGTCATCTCCCACTTATAGTAGTTTTCAATAACAAACTTTTGTTTAGTAGCATCTTCAGCAGTGTACTTTGTTATCATTGACTCCCAGATTTATTTTGCCTCCTTCTAGGAAACATAGACATCGAACAATTCGTTAGAAAGAGTAGAAATTATAGTATGTCTACATATCTTATTAGCATGAACCCATTGATCCATCTGAATGGAAGTTGCTTCAATTGGCTTAGGATCAGTAAGTGCAAAAGCAACTCCATGCATATCCAAAATAGAATGCACCCGTTCCTGCCAACGCTTAAAATTATCTCCACCAAAAACCTCAATTTTCGAAACATCAGGAAAAGGTTTGGCATAGGTAATTGGTGATGGAACAGCAACAGAGACAGTTGGTGCAGCAGGAGTAGTAGCATCAATAGCAACATTAGCAGCGTTATTCTCCATAATAACAACGTAAAATATCCTTAAGATTGTTGGAAAAATTGGATGATTATGGAAATAAAAGATTTAGCTTGAGGCGTGTCAAGGACACTGTCCTTAAGGATATTTCGACCACACTAAGATGAATATTATTGAGCGTATCCCCCAGGGTTCAACAAGCTCTTCTAGTATAACTAGGAGCAGAAACCACAAAGATTAAGAACTAAACCCAGCACAAAACAAAATAAGAGAGAAATTTTTTACTTCACACACACACACTTTCGAAGTAAAACCAAAGACGTATATATATATATATATAGGGCAAAGGAAATGCATTGGTCAGATTATTTGTCCCAAATTAAATTCAATATTAAACTAATTTTTGTTAAAAATATATTTAAAATAATTACTATAATAAAGATCCATTAATATAATAGTAAGAAAATAAATCCAGACATAGTTTTAGAATATTTCTTTTTGAGATATTAAAAATATTTTTCTATTATAGATCACACAGAGATAACTTTACATTGCTCCAAGGCTCCCTTCAAGTAAGTGAAACATTAAAGAAACAATTTTTTTGAGTTAAGAGTTAAAAAGAAAATCTTATAAAGAAGATATTCACACGTGCAGCACATATCACAAGGACCTACTTTAATAAATAAACTGCCATCAATAACAAAATTTGTTTGTCTACAGATGGAAAAATGGATGGCAACAAGGAGAGGGGTGAGACTAGTTCACTGACTTAGCATTGCCAGGTCCTCAATAGCTTCCCATGTGGCATAAAGAATCATCTTTTTGACCTGTGGTGGGGGGAGCAGATTAGCACCTTTATCAATATTACATTCAAGCAATCTAAATAGAAGATTTCTGCAAAAGGTTCCACACTCCTAAATAATGTATTTGAATGATTTAGACGGCATCATTGAAGCAATTTCCACTTTAAAAAAAAAAAAACTGTACAATAATAAGACAACATCTAATATAAGGGGCTTCCAGTGACGACACTATATCAACTATTTGCACAAACACTTCATATGGATAAGTTGGCAAAATGAGCTATTGTATTGATGTGATCATAGAGTATTAAAGTTGTGTTATATTCACAAGCAATTTTGAGGAACATAGAAAACTGCCAGGATGAAGACATCCAAGAATTTATTTGTGATGAAGCCAACTCAGTTCGTGCTCATACCCATATGGTAGAGCATTAAACATTAGTTGACTATTAAAAGCCTCTTCATTTCTTTTGGTTTCAAGCAAGGGATTGTCTTATCATAAGGAAAAAGACCCACGACTCTTATTTGAACGAAGTGGATAAATGCGCCTTTTGTGGTATAATAGAACAAACACTAATACCTTAATTGAAGGAAAAGCAGCCTGCGTCTCCGACTCTGGAAGAACTTTAACTATACCTAACCTTAAGTTCTTAATTAAGGATAGAGGTCGGGCGGGCAGTGAAAGCTCATTTAGTAGACTTAAAAGACCGATGCTGCCACTGCCAGGCAAGGGAGGAACTTGTCTGATCCTGCGGTACACTCATTCCAGTTATGAGATTCGAAGATTTCCCCAAACAGTTCAAATTTATTAGTAGAAAGATGTTCCTCAATATTAAATAATTAAACTTCCCTTTGAGTTTCAAATATAGCCTTAGACATAGATGGATGCATGCATACTTAGCTACATATATCTCGAACAATTGAATGAGCATATAACTAATACTCCATCCTGAAAACAATGGGTGAGGTCCTGAGCAATAGAGCCAAACCTTTTAATTCTCGGTGCGAACTCGGACAATGTTTCCTCAAAACTTTCAGCATAAAATTTACATATTTAAAAACAATATAAAAAGTAGTAGTATAATTCAAAACCTTATTTTAGAAGCGTTTCATAAACTGTTTGACTGCCCAAAATAATAATGGTGTCATATGAGATACAGGAAGTAATCTATAAACTTAATAAGGAATGAGATGTCGTAGAGTCCAAGAGCAGTAAAGTGAAATTGTGAGAAGAAACATGGTCATAACAAACAGAAGCATGCAAACAGCTCTGAGAAACGTGAAACAAGAGAAGTACCTCTAATTTGTCTTCTGCAGCAACAAGATCTTGGGAAAGCAAGCGGACTTCCTGAGTCAAACGAATGCATTCACCAACATTTTCAGGTGAAACGAAGCCAAGAACAACATTTATGCATGACTGTGGGAGCAAGAAACAATTTAGAATAACTAAACTAACAAGACCAATAATATTACTTTTCTGATAAAAAAGGACCAATATGATTAGTCTCAAGCTTGTTGAACTATGAGTTTAAAATATATCTGACGGCCTCGTTCTAAAAACCACGCCACAATCTTATTCCTCCACCCGAATTACTATCTGACTTTGCTAGCATTGAAGAGGAAAATATAGTCCAGAAGAAACAGGCTCTGTTCTATACGCAAACAGATTACTTTTCAATATTCTGGAACCTTTTAGTACGAATGAAAAGCCATCTTACAATCAGTTTTCAAGAGACACCAGCTGACATGATAGAACAATTAATTTATAGCTAAAATTTCGTCAAATATGGTTATCTTAGATTTCCCACACTATGAGATATATCTGAAGAACTGCCATATTTTAAAAACGAAGAGGATATATCCGAAGAACTTTGTGCAAAGTCTAAGCAAATTGCAGAACATTTAGACACTTTCAATTTCTCAAGAATTATGTCCAGAGAAGGCAAAATTATAATTCAAATCAAATTACATTAACATGCTTCACAGTGCACAAGAATCGAGAAGACCTGGATAAAAAGAAACCAAGCAACAACTGAAGAGGCAATCTAGAATTTAAGTGCAATGATAGCCTTTTCAAACGCAAAGATAACCAAAAGCTACACACTTAAGAGCATGAGAAGTTAATTCATCTCTTCAGTGGCCAGGTTATGAACAAACATCTGCTCAAAAAGAAACAAGGACCAAAAGACATAAAGATGAGTGGACATAAAAGAGTGTAAAACCTGATTATGGATAATAGAGGAATGCATGACTCGACCAAATAACAGGATGTGAAAACCAAACCTCCTTAAAAACGCATGAACATGAAATATATTGCAGGGTGCAGACAGTCAAATCAACAACAATGACAACTATACCCCATTCCCTTTTTGATCCACAATTATAGAGTCAATTACTCAAATGGTCACTCAACTATCTCAAATTATCTCCTAAAGTCACTTTTCTTTCATTTGTAACAACAGTCACTGGACTATGCATATTGCACTCAGAAGGTCACTCAACTAGATTTTTCAAATTTTGGATTGTCAAATACTCCATCCGTTCCAGTTTATGTGAACCTATTTCCTTTTTGGTCCGTTCCAAAAAGAATGACCCCTTTTTAAATTTGGAAACAATTTAGTTTAAACTTCCAATTCTACCCTTAATGAGAAACGTTTATAATCACACAAACACTCTGTACCCCTTTTTGACTTGTTTAGGACCACAAATTCCAAAAGCCTTCATTTTTTCTTAAATTCCGTGCCCAGTCAAACAAGTTCACATAAATTGGAACGGAGGGAGTACATATTTTACCCTCTAAATTATAAACATTTATCTTCTTTTTATTTTTTAAAACTTGTTAATATTATGATTTTTTCCTTTTTAATTTATATTATGGACTTACTTATAGAATAAATAAATATTATTTATAATTAAAAAAAATAAAAAGTATTTAAGCATCTATAATGCTGGAATAACAAAATAATGGGCATAGTAAAAAATTAATTAGAATAATTTGTTCGTAATAATAATTTTAGTATTAACAACAAAAATTCAAAAAATTATTTACACAATTCAGAATGAAAGAAAATAAAAGTTGTAAAATATATATTCCATGCACGTAATATAAAAATAATTATTTAAATAAAGGTAATTTTATAATATACATTATATATTCTTGAAAATTATGCTCAATTATATTATATATTCCACGCACGACTTAACATAACATATTTTACCCTATACAGATAGTCCCCCTGCTTTCCGGTGACATAACTTTGTGTCGTCGGAAAGTTGGTAGAAACATAATAATGTAATTGAGCATAATTTTCAATAATATATAATGTATATTAAAAAGTTTTAAAAAAATAAAAAGAAGATAAATGTTTATAATTTAGAGGGTAAAATAGGCATTTGGCAATCCAAAATTTGAAAAATTTAGTTGAGGGACCTTCTGAATGCAATAGGCATAGTTCGGTGATTTTGTTGTAACAAACGAAATAAAAGTGACTTTAGTAGATAATTTGGGATAGTTGAGTGACCATTTGAGTAATGGACTCCACAATTATACTCAATCATAAACTAGTTGGAGCCAACGCTATGATTCATCAATGTCCATTCAAATACTCAATAATTTGGGTTTCTCCACACTAGCGGTCCTCTAATTTTCTACTTATATACAAATCTCCAAACAGATTCAGAGTTAACGCAAAGTATCATATGACTAAGCTTTAATCCCAACTAGTTAGTATCAACTATTTGGATTGTGCAAACTTTTTCCATAAGCCCGCATGAATCAGGAGCTCCATAAATTGTACAACCCAAATGGGAGAGACTGTAGGACTTCAGAGACGACATTTTCCAACGTGAATTTTGTTCTACCATGTCCCATTTTAACTTCACTCATTGTAATATCACTCTATGGACCGATATTTGAAGTTTTTGGTAGAACATGGCCAAACCATCTCCTATGGTCCTTTTTTTTTCCCGATGAAGTAAGGGAATTATCATTAAAAGGCATCAAGAAGATGCAGAACAAAAGTTACAAAAGTAGCAATACTGCTTGATGGTGTCTGCCCATATACAAAAACTAATCTATAGCTTTGGAGCAGACAATCCAAAAATATTTCACAGCTAGATACAGGGGCCTGATTGAGCCAACTAAATACATTCAGTAAGATTGTTGATGGTCTTCTTTTCTTTTATTATTAACATATTGCTACATCTGTCAAATATAATCATTTGTAATCTTGTCTGATCATGTAGGCATATCCATTGTAATGAGATGCCTATTTTTCTTCTGAACTCTCCTATTTTCTCGAGTAGTAGGAGGACAAGATGTTCGATAAATTACCTCTTAAGTTTGAAAACTTCTATAATTGAGAAAATAGTTTCAATAAGAAGCTCCAAGTACATCTTGGATGATTATCGATGGAGCACAGAAAATAAGGAAAACTGAAAGTTGAACTGACTCAACTAGGACCTGGAAGGGTATCCTACTCGACTATTAGGACAACAACGAAAAGTGATGCAAGTATGTTTTCCAAGTTGACATGACTCACGATCTAAGGTAGACAAGGGTAGAAAATTAAGCATGATATTTTGAAATTTGGATAAACTATATTTCATCTGTCTAAAAGATTAAACAACTAGAGAGATGACACTTTAATAATTTACTGATGTCTTCACACACCTTCAGATTTCTAACTTGATAAGGGCAGCCTGCAGGTATGAAAACTGCATCCCCTAGTTTTTGAACAAAGGTCCAAGGTTCAAATCCTGTGAAATAGAAAAATATAATAAAAATATTAGAAAAATAAAAGAAAGAGTTTCACATGGAAATAGGCATCCCAGCTATGAAATTCATACATGAAACACTCACCATATTTTTCCTTAAGCTTCCTTTTATGGTCCTCAGTCAAGTAAAATGTTTGATCATGAATAGGGTGAATAACCTACAATACAAGACAAATAGGAGTCGGTACATGCAGCAACTATGCGTTGTCAACGGTAAAACCTATCATTTTTGTATTGAATCATAAAGACCTGGAAAAGGCAAAGGAAATTTTTTTCAACATTAGAAGAAATAGAGTGATGTTTATTTTCGTAATAGCCCAAATCTACCAAAAACATCTTCATGCTAAATATCAAAATAGACTAAAAACAAACTTCCTCACTTTGATGGATTTCAAGATCACAAGCAACATCTTCTTAAATTTCCCTCCTCTCTATTTGAATAATGAGTTAAAAGGCAAATATGAGAAATTTAAAAGTATGTACTATGTCTAGGTTGGCAATACTGATGTCTTATACTGGAAAAACCTTGTCCAAGATTTACACAATGGCACAAAGAGTAACATTATAGCTCTGTTGCGCGGACTCTCCAAAATACTGCCGCACCCATGTCGGATTCTCCAAAAATACACTGCTTTTGGAGAATCCGACACGCACCCGGCGATATTTTCCGAGAGTCCGAGCAACATAGCATTATAGGCCCTGGAGTCTCCTACGTGAGTATGTTTACTACTAAGCTGCATAAACAAAAAGTGACAGCAATTGCAGTTAATTGTCTTCTACAAGTGTACAACATAATGAAAGTAGTTATGTCAAACTGGTGGGTCTTCTTTAGGCTGTAGCATTCCTCTCCCATCTTTGTCTCAGCCTGGAACTGAGAGAATATTTTTAGCACGTCAATTGCAGGAACTTAATTTGAAGCCTTCTTGCTGAAAGTGCAGATAATCTGGGTTTCTCTTTTCTGCTTGACTGCTTCTGCTACAAACTAGCTTTGGCTTGATTCTAGCCTATATGTTTCGTATTACAGACTCCACTATAGCTAACACCATCAAAACCTCATCAATGAAAGAAACAGGATATTCTAAAACCAAACAATTTTGAACCCCCCCCCCC